TTTATCTCAACCCATGAGTTCTACAATTTTTTCCCTTCAATTCTCTCCCCCATCCCACTGGGAAGACAGGGAATGAGCAAACAACTGCACTGTGCTCAGCTACCTGCTGGGTTAAACCACAGGAGTAACATACAATCAGAGAACTATACCTGCATTTCAGTTGCAGGTGCCTCTGAGGCAAGGCCAGGTCTGCCCCATGCTGCACACAGCAGGTTCCATTGGGCTCCAGAGGCCCCAGCTGGGCCCTGCAGTCAAGTTGGAGGCACCTCCGTGGACTGCGTTTGAGAAAGGGCCAAAATGCTGTACAGCAGTTCTGAGAGAGGAGGGGGAAAAAGTCTAAGAAACAGCCCTGAAGAAATCAATCACAGAAGTTTCAAGGGAACGGGTGCCCCAAACAGCAGAGCAGGAGCACATGAAGCACCCTGCACTGCAGCAGGTGTCTGTCCTCATAGGAAGTGCAGCCTGCAGAGCATTTCATCAGGGCTAGGGAAAAGGGCAAACAGGAAGGAGCAGCAGGAAGGAGCTGTAACAGCCTGACCAGAGCCCCCATTCCTCATCCCCTTGGGGTGGGGAGAGTTGCATGCATCAGAAAAAAAGCTGAGCCCAGGGAAAAAACTAAGGAATAGCCATTGCTCCCCCTTTGCCCACAGAGCCTTCCAACATGGAAGATAACCATATTGGTCAGGCACAGTTTTCTCTTGGTAAATCCTTGGTTGTTCCCAAGGACCTTTCTGTCCTTCATTTATTTCTATAATTGTCTCAGGAACTGAGGTATGTTGTTGGCTTGACCAGCTCGTTGTTACCCAAATCTTCCCGGTGCTTTTAAAGATGAACACAACATGGTATTTGTCTTTTTCCAGTGACCAGGGACCTCCTCTGATTGCTATAGTTCTTTCAGAGATGATAGAGAATGGTCTTGCACAAGCCACTGTCATAGGCTTGTAAGCATGGATCCATACTGCTTTCTGCATCCTAAGTGCTACCTAAGTGCTCCATAACTCTGTCTTGCTCTACTGCTGGCAGTGTTTCTCCCACCAACCATGGCTGCAAGGCTGTTGGTAATGTGGGAGGTCGGAGAGCTCCTGAATAATGAAAAAATCTATTGAGTGTTATAACACTGCTTTCCTGGGTGCCACAATGTTCTTTTAAAACATACTGCTGCCTTGAGAGTAATATATTTGTTCTCTGCACTGTTATAATCTCTGCATTCCCAAACCATGGCAGTAGTCAGGGAAATCAGTTGTATGTGGTTAGAAACAAAATTCAATCTTTTGTTGATAGTGTGCGAAGACTTCTATTACCGTCAGCAGTGGAAACATGCATAGTTGGTGCTAATCCAGATTTCTAGCCTAGAAGTATTATCTCTTTGTTTACTGATATTTCTATTCAAAATAGCATATCCTAAGCAGAATACCAATCAGGTTCAGAACAGTCTCAAGACCTCTGTGAGAACACAGAAAAACAGTAACTTCTCAATAATTCTTGAAAGGCCTTATGATTTCCCATCCAAATTTTCCAATAAATTCACCCTTAAAAAAAGAATCAAAGGGTATCCCTTCAATAGTATGTAAGAACACAAGAGAAAACAGTCAAGGTAAGAAAAGGAATTTCCCCTCATTTTTGGAAATGAAATCTTCAACTTTTTAAGACTGAAAGGCGTGGAGTAATTTTTGCACCTTACCTTATGTGTGGAGGGCACTCAGACTCAGCAATACAAAATAATAAATGTGCCAACCAATTAATAAATAAGCAAACAAATAAATAGATAAATAAACGAAAAAGTGCACAGACATTCAAGAGATAGTTAGGAAATCACAATATAGGAAATTCTCAGAGGACACAATATTTTACCCTGTGGGCTGCAGAAATCATATCAAACTTCACTCAAAAAGAAAGTAAGAGAAGTCTCACATGGAAGTCAATATTACACTAATATGGACAAATACCATGTAAACAGTTTTGGCAATTGCAGATAGAAATTCCTGTTAGACAGGAACTGGCATCAATTAAAATGATCAGCTGAAGTGTAAAATCTGAAGTTACTGTTCTCCACAACTTAGACAATATTGGACAGTAGAGAGCCAACAGCAGAGTGAACTACTCCAGTGAGAGATTGAGCTCATCTGAAACAAGACAACGTATAATTAGGCAGATACCATAGATATCACAAGGGTCATTATGAGACTTGACTCAAAGGGCAGTCAGAGCATTTGCCAGGAAGAGCTGAGTCACAGCTGGAGCAGAAACCTCCCTTGAAGCAAACTACAGGATCAAGGTCAAAATCAGGCCTTTTCTATTTTGGGGATGATGAAGGTTTTAGAATGAAACTGCCTGCGTCAAATCTGATGAGAAAGAAACTCCCTGGAGTGGTTTTCTATTGCTGGGAATGAGCAGTCAAAATAAAGAGAATTTGGGCAGACTGTTCTCAATTGTATGACAAAAACTACAGGTACAGTCCTTATAGACTGTGTGTGACTTACAGCCAACACACCGTGATAAGAAAGCCAAGAAAAAATAACCTTAACCGAAACTACAAAAAAGTAAACATTAGAAAAAATGAAACAGTAAGAAAATATAAAAATGAACACAGAAATCACAAAGGAAAAAGGAAAATAAAATAAAATAAATTGCATAGGTAATCAGAAGCAACAAGAAATGAACTGCAAAAAAGCTTCATGAAGAACCAGAGAGGCAACTGAGAGCCTAAGATACATTTTTAGCTTTGGAAATTTATATGAATAAATACTTTCCAAGTACTAACTGAGGTAAAGTGTCAATGGCTTGAGTGCTTACACACTGCACAATGCTGTTATTACCTCTTCTGAATAAAAAAAATTACACCATAACATTTCACCTATTAACCCTGCATTAAAAGTAAAATAATCTATTGAACTATCATATACTTAAAGAAAGGAAGCTCATCTTGATATGAGTCTGAGATATGTCCAAGCAATATATTTTAGCAATAAATTACCTGTAAGCCACTGTATTTTACTGCTATTTTAACTTGCATAAGCTTTTGTTTTGTTTTAATTGAAATTGGCTGATAAGGAGCTATTTACTGTCTCAAACTTTTCACACACACAGAATTAAAAATAACCCTCAAATAAATTGCTTCTTTACTTCTAAACACATTCCAGAGACTGAAATTCTAAGTTTTCACTGTTGTTTCTTTGGAAGATCCTTCAAAATATTAATTTTAGCCAAAATTATACAACTTTGAAAGTATATTTTGGAATTTTTGTTAGTTTAGAACATTTATTGAGGGTGCATGCCTCTAAGTAAGTTAATTTTATACACAACTAATACAAAAAAAAATTCCATATATTAAAAAATATTCCATATATTATAATACAAATGGTTAGTTAATTATGAATGTTTGAATTAAGGAAAAATCTTGTACAATTGTAAATGTTCTCTTAATGCTAATATAAGGTATTTAGAAGTACACTTTTGGATGAGTACTTTACAACTCACAAGAACATGTTAGATTTCAACAACATTGTCACTTCATTGGTTACTATGCAATTCACTAAAAGCAAAAGCAATCTAAACACATTACAAAAACAGCAAGAAAAATCGCACCCGTGCTTGAAATTACTGTATTCACCTCATTACAAGATAACCCACTTTTACCAAAGAACTGAAGAGATAAAAAGGTTAAAACAGTTGTCACACGGTGAAGTCTACCCAAAGTATGGTTCAGAAAAATGAATTATTGACTACATATACTCAGCTCTACATGATCCAGCTATGCACTGGGAAAACAAAAACACAGATTAACTTTGTTACAGTCATCAGGTGATGAGTATCCAAAATCACTGCTCGGATAAATGAGACCCAGACTATGCTGAAGCAGCACTGTTTTGTGTATTCTAGATTGCACAGAAAACAAAGACTCGCAGAATAACTTTGTTAAGCGTTGGTGAACAACTTTACATTCTTGTAATACAGCTGGGAGATAAAACTAGGAGGTGAAATAATCCAGGTAACTAACTATGACTTGCTTTATACAATGAAAAAGTTGGGGCTTGTCCTGGGGCTCTATGATTAGAGAGGCCTCTGGTACCTTATGCCAACAATTTAATTATAAAAATCAATACATACTTAGTACAGTGGTCCCTTGGTACAGAGGCATACTCCATATTGAGACACCTGACAAGATGTAGCTGGCTGAGCTGTCTGGGAACTGCTCTGTACAGGAGCTATGCTGCCAGGCACTGGAATGGGTGTTTTGTTCCAGTTTCAACTCAATTGGAGGGCCTGGGGCCTTGGTTTGTGAGTGAGAAGAGTGTGAGTGCTATAGAACTAAAATTCACGTCTACATTCATTCTGCCCAGATTAGGAGTCGCTCACTAATGTCCATTATAGTGACTACCCTACTTGAAATTCCTCTGTAACAATAATTCAGTAGTAATCCACTTCAGTATGTCCCTCAGTATGTCTCTGTATGTATTCTCATCACCATTTCCACAGCTGTTTCTCCTCCACTTCTGTTCTAGTCTCACTGCATATTACATCACATGCTCACATACACCCAACTCGTACTACAAATACGTCCCCACAATCTCCAGTTCCTGTACTTGTCAGTCTTGAATGCTGTTCCACAAGTTAGTGCTCTCTATTCATTTTCAGACACATCTTTCCATTCAGGCGAAGGACAAAAGCAGAGGTCCTTTCTCTTTGGATAGGAAATTCAGTGCTGTTAGACTTCCCACATAAAATGCAGCTAACAGGTACCTCCAAATTTGCTCATATTTGTTCCCTGTCTACCCAAGGCAAATAGGATTGCAGCTTGAGTCATAATGCCATTTCTGTTCAATTCACTTGCTGAAGATCAAGACACCAGCAAAACTCAAGGCATGCCTTAGATGTAATCTCCAAAAGAGTGTAAGCAATTCTTATTTTTTGTATGATTTGTATCTCTCCATTTATATTGTATTCATATACCACTGCTGAAACATCAAACATCTTAAAATAAATAGTGGTAAAAAAAATACCTGCTTTATTGCAGAAGAATAAGGCAAGCCACCAACAAATATGGATCCTGTTTCAAGCCCGTATGAATTGGACGAGAAATTGCTAGGCATTCTTGTCTTTGCAGATATCTCCAGGATCAACATTTCTGCTTCACATGGCACCATGCTTTGCCTGCACAAATTTAAAAACAGGGACATTTTACCAATATATATAGTTTGCATTACTGTTTATCTGACAAATTAATTAGGCTGTCTTGAGGTTTTGGCTGAGATATATTATCTTCATAGAGGCTTATATAATGCTGTATTTGGATTTTTGATGAAAACAGCTGTGATAATTCAGCTTTTAGCTGTAACAGAGCAGTGCTTACAAAGATTGAAAGAAATTTCAGCCTTTTTCTGCTGTCATATCAGGGAGAAGCTAGAGGCAACTAAGGAGCTGGGATAGAACAGCACCAGGACAGGTGATCTAGACTGACCAAAGGGATGTTCCATAAAAATAGCATCACACTCAGCTAAAAACAAACAAACAAACAACAGCAAAAACTGGGGGAAAGAAAAAAGAAGGGAAGTACATTTAAAATGATGGTATTTATCTTCCCAATAAACCATTACACTTGCTGAGCCCTGCTTTCCTGGGAGTGGCTGAGCATCTGCCTGCTAACAGACAAGCAGTGAATGAATTCCTTGTTTTGCTTTGCTTGTGTACGCAGCTTTAGCTTTGCCTAGCAAGTTGTCTTCATATCAGCCTACAAGTTCTTGCACTTTTACCTTCCCAATTTTCTATTCCATCTCACCTGGGGAGAGTGAGTGGGTAGCAATGTGGTACTGATCTGCTTGCTGGGGTTAAGTGCCAACAGGCTGTTACTGAAATCGACGAGGAAAGAAAATCAAACAACTAGCTGTTCTGGCATAAAAGACTATAAACATAAAATAAGCTGTTTAACAAGCTGTAAGCTGGTGTGTCTTCGTAGTTTGAACTTCCATTAAAATGAAAACATACAGTAAATCTAAGCAGTTTAATTGCTAAAAAAGCAGAAGTACATAGTAGCTGAATAAAACAAAAGCTAGACAATATTTCACAATATAAATAAGAATTTTTCATTTCACAGAAAGACATCTAATGAACTGAATTATTGTAGATATCCTATATTTCACCATACCAAAAAAGATAATTCAGAAAAGCAATTTAAAATAAACTGCATTTTACAGAGAACAGACTTACTGTAATTTGTAATACATGTTTTCAAAAGCATCATTTCGAAGACTGAGAACAAAACAAGAGCCTCCAAGGAGGGAATTTCTTCCAGCCTGTCCTCTCATCAAACAGGACAGTTCAGGTGAAGCTCCGTGTCAAAAAAATCAGAGCTCAATCAGATGTATATGTAAAAATAATTCAAATGCCTTTGTAGATCAGGTGCTTAAAAAAAAAACCTCTTAAAAACAGTGTTTACCAGCCAAAGCTCTGAAAGTAAGAGTGTGTCATTTAGTTAGGACAGTATAGATAAAGTGTAAATTCAGTTTATCTTCGATAATGCCAAATCAGTTTCTGAAACTTAAACAAAAAGCATGGAGAGAAATGTATTCATTATTTTCTCTCAGATGATGTGTAAAGGCCTTCCCGTGTATAATCTGGCAAGGTTTCCTATCTTCTACTGTTGAGAAGATGGAGAGTTCACATTAGCAAAATTTGTTTATTTGTATATAAGCAATTCTGTTTATTGTCTGCACAATTCTATTTTTGAGACACTTGTAGAGAAAAATGCAACTGTGGTATTAGCCTTTTAGCAGAAAGGACTGTAAATGTTGTTGCAGGCAAACAAAATAGCCTTCTATCTTATAGCAAATAACTTCAGATGAAAAGCATCAAGTTCACTTTGTTGATGAAATAAATGTAAGAGAAATAAAAAGGGCTTTTAAGTCCATGGGCTAAAAATCAACCTAAGGACTCACTTGCTGAAATTAAAAATAATAATAATAATTCTCATCAGTTTTTAGAAAGTTTTATGAAACTTGCTAATTAATAGCAAACCTACATGGTGAAAATGAAGAAATTGTACCCAGAACTGCAATCAAGGAGAGGAACGTATTCCTGACATGTTTTGTAGATAAGCAAATACAAAATGTTCTACAGCACCCAGTTTTCATTACTTGCTTACAATGGAATTTTGCTGATAAATGCACGTAATTTCATACATGCATTCTCAGTGGCTCTGTTTGCAACGATCAAGCTGTTTTTCCCATGGCTTAAACCCAGTGTGACATCTTGAATAAATTCATTCTGCAGCAGAAAGCTTTGGTGTGAGTTCTAAAAAAATCAGTGAGTTTTAAATAACTACAATTTCTTCTGGGGCATAGTTTCTATCAATAAAGGGATATTAATAGTATAATAATCCTTCTGAAATATTTTAAATCAGATATTTTAATGCACCCTAATTCAGGATTGGAATGGAAGAGGTTTAGGAGAGGAACTGACAGGAAGAAGTTATTTAATTTAATTTTTTAAACTCATTTACAGGTACGTAGAACAAAAAAGCTGATCACGTAAGTTTTTTTTTTCTTTTTCTTTTTTTAATTACAGTTTTTCCTCTGCATATTCTGGGATGCTAACACTGTAATTGGTTACATGACCACGTAGGTATTTCTATTGCACAAGCATTCTATCTAAAAATATAGTTCTTTTCATAGTAGCTTTGGAGATATTTGTTAGCTTATATGATGGATTTGCAGAGGGATTTTTGTATGCAGATATAAACACACTTTGAAATTAATTTTCACTACTCTATGTCAGAAAACAAGTTAATGCAATTCATTAGTGTGTGAACTGCCTAGCCGTAAGCTTGTTAGAATGTCAGCCATGCACCTTTGATTGTGCTTGATTGAATCTAGCAAGTTCTGGCCAAATTAGAATAACAACCTAAAACCATTATTGTTGAGCATTTGCTGATGATACAATCACCGGGTCGCATATGCACTCTACCAAATTTCCATCAAGCTTTTAAAATACTTTTTCTACAATCAGCGTGTTGGGTGCTTTAAAGGTCATGTAAGAAGATAGAGCTTTTTGCATAATTATAAATATGGAAATGCACACAGCAATAATCAAGCACTTTTGCCTGGTAAGCTACCAGTAATTGAGCCTCTGTCCAATCCAGCAGTAACAGTTCACAGATTTCTCAATTGTATTTACGTAAATGCAGTGATTAAACACAGGCCTATTACTTATAACCCAAAGATAAGTTCTGTCAAAACAGTATTAAATCCATTGCCTGATGTCTCTCAGTTTGGAAGGATGGAAAGGTCAGATAATCATTTGATGACTGTTGGGAAAAAGGTACCTAAACATTACAATAGCTGCATGAAATGCAAATTATTTTACAAAATGTCTTTACTTGCTAATATTTGCCAGTGAAGATTAAATTACACCCCTTGGATTATCATAAAATGGTAAAAAGGTAATAAAACAAATAGAGGAAGAGGAGGAGGAAAAGGGGGATGCCCACAAAAAATACTATTTAGCTTTTTTGATGTTTTTTTATTTGTTGTTGTTGTTTTGTTTTGCTTTTTTTTTTTCCTGATAAGAAAAGTAAAGCTCTTATTTTAGAAACAAGACTGAAACTTTTATCCATCTAGCAATTTCACTCTGAATGTGATCAACAGTAAACAATTCACTAATTACTTCTGAAACACTTAGGATGCAATCCTATCGTTCAGTCCATTAAACACAAGTAACAGTGGATCTGCAAACAGTTCTGTCAGATATGAGCTGAGAACTGCAAGAATAGAAGTTTCATTATCAAATATTCTAAAAAAAAAACCACAAAAATTTCTAAATGTTATTAAAGCCAACTGACAAAACTCAAAAACATGTTTCATTATCATTTTGTTTTAACATTATAGATTTGCTATCCTGAAAAAGAATCAAAGCAAACTCCTGTTTCCCCCCAGCTTTCCACAGGTCCCCGTCCAGCAGCCCTCCCCCACCAAACCATGGCTGGGGGTTCAAGACACCCATCTTGTCCAGCAGCTAACACTTCTCCCAGTCCACTGTGTTCAGAATCTCATGAGCTATAAATCCCAGAGAGATCGTCCTGGAAGTGGCACCTACAGTTTCCTGATACGTCCATCAATTAGCAAGTTTTGGAAGTTTGTTTCTCGTCATTGTCTCCAAGCTTGCTGTGTTAAGCCTATGTCTTGGTATATTTAGTTTCTGGCTTCTCCATTTTGCTGCAGTCTTCCAGCTGACAGTGTCCCTGACCAGTTAACCTTGCTGGAATGAACATTCCCAAGCTCTCACATACCCTCATCAATTAGGATGAGTGGTCAGGTTTGGCTCCTATCACTGCCTTCTTTATTACTTGTAGGTCAGCTTTAGGTCCTTGTCCCTCTCTTCTTAACTCCTGTGGTATTGAAAAAGGTCCTTGACCAGGTAACTTTACAGGAGCTGTCACTCTCCTTCTACATACCATTACACTCACATTACCCCCAGTAAATTTATTTAGATAGGAAGCATCAGTTACTCTCAGAATCATTACATTTTCCCTCTGCAGTGAGATGCATCATTTCAGACTCCTCACATCTATTGGCCCTGATTGTTCCCTGCTGAGGCACCAGGATAACATGCTCTAATGTCACAGATGAAACAATGAGTCAATAACATATTTTTCTTGTTCCCTCTGACAGGAGACTTATTTCCTGGACCTGGGGCTAATTTCTTAATCTGGACTTGTAGAGTGGACTAAGTAAATAAGAAAGGACAAAAAAACTAAAGACAAAGCATCAAGTAAATTGCTTTAACAGTGACGAAGGGGGATAGGGGTTGAGGTGGGTTTGGTAGCTTGTTCTTGCCTCATATTCTAAGCAATGAACAAATACATAAACATAGTTCCCTAATTCTTATAACTTTGATTAGTTTATTTTAAAACACTTATTTATTAGTAAATTAAATGTCTGCAACGTGAGCTCAGGTCCTGACACTCAATTAGCCTCATTTTTTTTAACCAACTTATCACTTTTCCTGGAAATGCTGCCACTCCTTTAGCTGTCACCTCTGATTCAGACTGAAAAGGCTCACTGGTTAGTGTAGCTCAGGAATCACTTTTTATTTCAAATGTTGCCTATATGTTCTACAAGAAGTCTTATACAGACATGGTCTGTGGCCTGTCAGTTGGT